CGGGTAGACGTCCGTCCTCTGGCCGCGAGACGGAGGCGTAGGGAAACCCAACCCTGGGTCTGGGTGGGCGAAGCAGCAAAGGCCGGTGGTTTCCAGCTGAGCTTGCAGCTCCAGCCCTTTCTGTCACCCACCCGGAGGTCTCCCGCTAGTCTCTCGCCCAGAGGATCGGCTCCGGTCACCCGCCCCGAGGGCAGCCATGAAAGGGACAAGCTGCTTTGGCCGTACATGTGCGGCTCCCCCTGGCTGGCCCACTTGAAAGAGGGCACTCTTGCACATTCCCGGACCCCTTTTCCTACCTTGCTCCTTCAGGATGGCTTGCAAGTGTCTGCCGCAGCAATGATGCTGGGGCGGCCCTTGAATCTCTTCCCTCTCGTTCAAAGCTCAGGTGGGGGAAGGCTTGGTCAAACTGCGAGGGATGAGCCCCGTGGGGGAGAAGGGAGGCGGCGCTCTCTGGCCCTGTGCTCACCTTTCTCTGTGCGCCGGCGGAAGGAGAGCTTGCGCCGTCGCAACCGGTTGAAGCCACCATTCATCTCGTCGCTGCTGGGTGAACCCGGGATCATGTTTGTCTGCAAGGCCAAGCAGATCTCTTACTTGGTGAGGGGCAGGGCTCAGGAGGAGGAGCTGGGCTGCCTGGGGCATGCCTATCTACCAGGGTCTGGTGGGCTCAGGAGCCTTGAGTCATGGGGCCCCTGAGGAACTCACATCTCGCAGATTGAAAGTAATCTCCAGGTTGGACCAGAAGTAGTCAGAGAACTCTGGGTACATGTCCAACACCTCCAGAAGGTCTTCGCGGTGGATCTTGTGCAGATCGCAGTACGTCAGGGCTCGCACATCTGCATTTGACTTGCCAGGCCGCGCGTACAGGTTAAGTGGCTCCCCAAAGATGTCGTTCTTCCCTGGGGGACACAGAAGGTACAGGGGTGAGGGTACATCTCGCAAGAGATGCGGCTCAGGCAACTCCTCCTGCTCTGGCACAAGGACAGAAGCCTCTCCTACGTCTGGTGCTTCCAGCTCCTCAAACCCTGCGAAGGCCCATGGCCCCCCGCCCGTATGCCCCCCTGCCCTGGGCTTCAGACTGAGCTTCGACTCATCAGCAGTTTTGCCCAAGATCAAGAGGCACGATGAGTCCTGCGCTGGGAACAGACCAGCGCTTGGGGGAAAAAAGCCCACGTGCTGTCTCTTCCTGTACCCAAGAGATTCCCCAACTCCTGAAAAGGATCGACCGCTGGCACCCCCAGCAGCCCTGCAGAGGTGGGCAGTTTTCTCTCCTCTTCCCTGCTGGAGCTGCCAGTCTCGGAAGGGAAGAACGAAAAGGTCATCAACTTGCCTGCAGACTTCCCCCCTCCCGGCATTGCATTGGCCACGGACTCGCATGCCACGTGTGGCACTGCTCAACCGACAGGAAGGTTTCTCTTATGCTTTTCCAACCCTTTACTCAGCTCGTGGAGCAGTGGGGAAGGAGGGCATCTGTGGGCATAAATTTTGGGACTGCCTTCTATTTTTTCTAGTTGGCCAGCCATTATTACTATTATTTAACCCATTTTCAGTAGGCACTGCCACATCTGCAAAACTTTTTACGTTAAAACTGGCATTCCTTGCAGTTGTACTGGGACACACACATTTCACCAGCTTTAGGGAAGGAAAAATGAAAGATAGAAAGAAATGCTCCAGGATGGTTGTTCTGCAATAGTGCTTTTATGATAAACACAAATGGGACCGCAGATTGGGGCGAGGGGGGTTCAAACTTCTCCTACTTCTCCGACCCCGAGTGATGCAGGCAGCGCTGTCTGGATTAATGGAAGTTCCTATTGTGATGATCGGAAACAAAAGGGTGTTTCAGCCATCCTTAGTTTATGGTGGCAAAAAATCAGGAGGCGCCTCGGAGCCTTTCTTGACGGACAATTCCTCTGAAAGGCAGAGCTTTCACGAGCTGCAATTCCCTTCCTCAGATGCACAGACTGGCCAGACTCATGCAGGACTTAAACTGGGTGGGATGCGAAGGGAGGGTGCAGGTGGATGTGAGACAGGTTGCAAGAACCTTACCCATTTTCTGCAAACTAAGGATGCTTTGGGGAGCTTCTCCCCCTGAAAACATTCTGTGTTGGGGCAGCCTGAATTCCTTTATTGTGATGGCAGGAAAGGCGGCCTCGGTGGGTGGCCTGCACTTGCATGTGTTTACTCTGATGATCTGCACCTCTCTGTCGCCCACTCCCTTACCCGCTCTGAGTGGGCTGCAAAATGCCAGATGCAGTTTCTCTCCTGGCCCTCCCTCTCCACGCTGGGAATGGGCCTGCCGAGCGCCGTCTCCCTAAGCCTTCCAGCTTTCATCCCTCCTCTCGTCCAAAGGCTGGGGCTGCGGGTCACAGAGCGGGGGGGCACTGAATGCCCCCGTAAGAAGCAGGAGCGTTCGAGGAGTCACCTGGAAACCCTTTGCTGTATCCTGGGACGCCCCGGTCGGGTCCTCCCAGGATGCAGGACGGATTCCTCTCAGAGAACATGGAAGCAGATCCTTGAACTCAAGATCAGCCTGGCATCTTTCAGACAGCTTGGCACGCCACTGATCTCGGGTGCCCAAGGGAGAGAAAATGGCAGGGGCTGGTCCTGAAACGCCTGCTGCTTGGGATCCAAAGCCCCATGGAGCCACAAGAGAAGCAGGGTTCTCCTCGAAGCGGCTCCCGTTGGGTTTCTTGCTGTGTTGCAAGCAGCTCCGTATAAACTGAAGCCAATCGAGAGCTGCCGGAAGTGACCCAAGACAGACGATGGGCAAAAAGAGGCCGGAAGATCCCTGCAGTTTTCTGGGCAAGGTTTTTCAGAGGCAGCTTGCCCCGGCCCCCTTCCTAGGCTCAGAGAGAGGGACTGGCCCGGGGTCACCCAGCTGGCTCCGTGCCTAAGGCGGGACTAGAGCTCACGGTCTCCTGGTTTCTAGCCTGAAGCCTGCTTAATATTAGCAGGGTGCTAAAATGGTGTTCTTTGGCCCAGCCTTTTACTTATTTACTAGCACTTCAGTACCTTTTCCTTCCATAGTGCCAACTTAGCAGCAGCAGCTCACAAAATTAGGCTAGGCCACAAACTACCAGCTGTGCCCAGACCTTGGAGCTGCAGCAGAGCTCCTCGCCCCAAGTCCTCGGGGCCTCTGGAAAGACGCCTCGTGGCTGGGGCCAAGCAGAGAGAGCCCCTCCTCCCTCAGCAACTAGCCAGACCCCTCCAGAAGTCCTCCAGAGCATGGGGCCACCCTGCGGCCAGGGACAGCCTGCCTTCTTCCCAAAGGGCATCCTGGGGGCAAAGGCCAGAGGTGGAGCAGGGCCGCGGCACCAGGGAAAGCCCCTTCTCACCTAGGATGGCCACCACCACGTCACCCCTGAGGATCTCGATGGAGCCGCGGGATATGAAGTAGAGGGCGGTGAGGACGTCCCCTGCGTGCACCAGGGTGTCCCCCGGCGGGGCGTGGGTGGTCTTGAACTTCATGGCCAAGGCGCGCAGGCAGCCCTTGCTGGCGCCCCGGAAGGGGCGGCAATTCTGCAACAGGCTGCGGTTCAGGTGCAGGCAGATGTCGGCCTGCAGGCACTCAGGGAAGCCCTTCAGCACCTGCAGTGGGGAGGAAGTGGGGGTGAGCTTGGACTGGGGCCCCAAGAGCCTCCACCTTCTAGCCCCGGGTCAGACGAACCCCAGCGGAAAGCAGGGGTTGAGCCAGATCTTTGAAACTTTGGTTTGGGGCTTTTAAAGGGACGTTTGTCCTACTCTCTTTCGGGCTGCTGAAGGGTGAGACCCCAGCGACCCCGGGACCCCAGAAGGGGGCTGCGGCATGGTCACCCAGCAGAGGGGTCGGCCCACCCGCCCTCGGCCCTCAGCCCGGGGCCGCTGTACCCTCACCGCGTTCATGTCGATGCCATTGGTGTAAGACCAGGCATGCTGGAAGTATTCTTCTAAGCGCTGGCGCAGGGGATTCGGGATCTGGTGGAAGCGGATGAACTCTCGCACCCGCAGCATCTGGGTGTGGTAGCGGGCCGTGCCCGAGTACAGCCGCTGGATGATGGCGGACACATTCCCAAAGATGCTGGCATACATCAGCGCTGGGGAGAAGGGGGGAGAGACACGCTGGTGAGCGGCCATCGCTCGCTCCCCCCCGCCTTCAGCACGGCTCGGCCTCGCT